TACAATACAACATATATTCAGGCCCCCACAGATAATGAGAAGTGAAATAAGCCTACTCCCTCCTTCCAGCTCTGCCTCCTACCCCAGCAGCACAAGGAGACTGGGAATGGGCGTTACAGTCAGTTCATCACCCAAGGCTTTTCCTGCTGCACTGTGGGGTCCCTTCCACAGGAGACACTTCTCCATGAACTTCCAGATGGGGCTCCACCTCACAAGCAGCAGTTCTCTGCAAACTGCTGCAATGTGAGTCCGTCCCATGGGCAACAGTTCTCCCAAAACTGCTGCAGCATAGTCACTGTTCCATGGGGTGGAAGCCCTCCAAGGATAGGCTTCTCCAACATGGGAGCAAGGGCCCCCTCTCTCCCCTGACACTCCCACAGGATCACAGCCTCCTGCAGGCATCCACCCGCTCCACATGGGCACCTCCCCCACAGGCTGCAGGTGGATCTCTGCATCCCCCCGTGGATCCCTATGGGCTGCAGGGACACAGCTGCTTCACCATGGTCTCACCACAACTTGCAGAGGAATCTCAGTTCCAGCACCTGGAACACTTCCTGCTCCTCCTCCGCCACTGACCTTGGTGTCTGCAGGGTTGTTCTCCTCACATGTTCTCACACCACTCTTCTCTAGTCCCAATTAAAATTGCATCACAATGTTTGTTTTTTCTTAAATATGTTATCACAAAGGCATTGCCACCATTTCTAACTGGCCCAGCCTTGGCCAGCAGCATGTCTGTCTTTGCTAGGGACTGGCTTTGCTGGACATGGTGGAAGCTCCCAGCAGCTTCTCACAGAAGCCACCTCTGTGTGCACTCTCACCCCCAAAAACAGGCTATGTAAACCAAACACATTCCACCCCTAGCCAGTCTAGGTATGGTCAGTTCTGTCAGGATTGGGCACAGCAGAGCTTTCATTCAGCTTTGTAAGGTGTGTATACATATAGCTGCTGGGAGGTGCAAATATTCTGCCCAGTTAGAGGCAGAATTTCTTAGGAAGCCCCTGTTTCCCTCACAGGGCTGAAGCAGGTTATAGGGCAGAGTGAGCTGATGCACACTGGGAAGAAGCATCAGCCTGGGAGTGCCACTCACTTGGCAGCTTGGGGACACCTCCAGGGCCCCTGCATTAGGGCAGAGATGCACAGTGCGAGAAGACAAGGAGCACTAAGTCACTTTTCCAATTCTGAAGCTGTAAGAGAACTAAAAAAATTACCTGCAAAGGATGTAAATATTGTGAGAATTAGGGAAATATTTAGGCACACTGGCAATTTTTTTGGCAGCTAGAGAATTGCTCTGAAGTTGAATGCTATTGTTCTAATCTAAAAATATGCAGAACTTGACAATGGAGGAAGATGGTTTGGCAGCATCTTCTCCTCTTCCCAGCCACACACAGAAGAAGATAAAACAGGAATCTTCAGCACATCCCTTCATTGTTATATATTTTTCCAATTGCCTGGAAATGAGGGAGAGAAATGTGAAGGGGTAAAGCCAACGCTATCTCCAGAAACATCAAAACAACTTTAGCTGCTCATAATTTCACACATTCACACAGTGAAAATGACAGTTTCCAACTTCTAATGGATTTATAAGTATTTCTAAGTTATGCATGGGTTTATAACCCGTAAGGCATGAAAGAGAGAGAAAAAGGATTAGGTGGGAAAGAAAAAGGTTATATAAGGGTTGGGATGATGGCAATCATTTCAGGCACAGGTCTCAAGGTTTAGCTAAAACTAGTTTGAATACTGGCAATGTCACAGCATGATTTAAGTAGTGCCTATTATGACCTGGACAAAATCCCTCCCTGTTGAACAGATGCATTTTATATTTTACAAAAATGATCTCATTTCTTTGCCAAAAAATATTGTCTAATGTGATTTTTGTGTAATTCTGGAAAGAAATTCTAGATCAAAATGACTGCCTGGTTTCTGTTTTAATTATGGAACTTTGACCTTATGCTCATTGGTAAACAAAGGAAGAACTTTTTGATCCTTTGAGTAGACCTTGGCTGTCCTCTTGAGTTCAGACTAAATGATGCCATAATGCACCACATTTTCTTGTAAAATTAAGGTAAGAAATCATTTGCATTTGAAGACAGCTCAGCTGTTTATTCAGTACTGACCTGCTCAAAATGAACAATGAATCTGATCTGTAAGACTTCACAAAGCATTTCACCTAGTGAAATCAGTCTATTATTTTTAGTAAAGCTGTTGTAAAGTGAGGACTTATACAAAAATACCGGCTTGCTTGGCACTGTGTATGAGAAAAATGAAGCCCCAACAAGTTGTCTTCAACAGAAAGGACAACCAAGCATCAAAGAATCACAACTCTGTTGTTAAAATGGGTAAACTGCTGATTATATTTAAGACATTGATTTATAAAGGTATATACCCTGCTTACTAAATCAGGAAAATTTCCATCACTAATTGGGTCAGCTAACCACAAAGGCACATGCCTCACTTCCTCTTCAAGCATGTCCTTTGGTGGCTTCTCAGAAAGTTGCAGCTTTCTGGCAATACTTTGAAATACTTCAGAAACATCATCAATGTTCCTTTTGCAGTTATTACTTTCCCTCTTTTCTGTTTTTTTCTACTTTACCTCCCTTTTATTTTTGTAATTGTAAAATACAATTCCACTTTTTCATCTTTAATATGTTCAGCTATGAAATTTGGAACACTTTGGGGTTTTTTGTCTTATAATAACAACTTTTTCTGTAACTTTTTAAAACAATTTTTTGGTTTTATCAATTCTTATTTCTCTGTGTTGTATATTGCTTCTCTGGTAAAACCAGGCACACATGGCAATTTCTCCACTTCTATCCTCAGTTATTTACAAGTTCAAATACTTATTTTCTCCTCTTCTTTTCTACCTCAGGTTTGCCTTCCCATTCTTCTCTGATTTGTTTAATCTTGATTTCATCCATATGAGAAATTAGGAACTTTGAACCTAAAAACCACAAAATATCAGTGTTGTTAGCTCAAGTATTAAATGTATTTGAGAAATAGGGTGAGATGATGTCAGATGTTAAATGTCAAATTGCTGCTTTTATACAAAATGGAAAATTGCCCAATATGGTTTTCAAGAGAGTTCTGAGGTTTAGCAACTTACAGTTCTGAAGATTGCAGCCTTAATGAACATGCTCCATTGCTTTGTGACTCTTAAAGCTGAGAGGCAGAACAAGTCTGCAAAGCAATAGGACTCTCCAATCTAAGAAGAAATGTAGACATCTCCTTGTATTTACAACATGACAATCAAGCTGAAAACTACTACCAAGAGAAGTAAACATGGTCTCTCCTCAGACAATGGTGCTAATCCCACAGCTGGAAAGTGGGCAGCAGGAATTAATCTCTCTCAGTGCACAGGGGCCTACACCTGGGCCAGAGGGAAAGGAGTGAAAGAAAGAAATACATGATGAATCTCAAAGAAGAGCTTGAGGGGTGTGCCTGCACAGTAGGAGATCTGGGGAAAACTGAATATGGAGCCTAAGACTGAGAAGAGAACTAACTCCCATTAAAGCTGGATTAAGAGCAAGTGGTTCATATTCTGGTGAGCAGTTTGAAGGAACAAAAGAAAAAAAGGTGGGTAGGAAAGAGAACCTGATAAAGAGAACGAACTTTTGAAACAAGTGAAGATTGTCTAGCCAGGGAGACTGGTATTAGTCACTTTTGTAGGTAGATAGAAACAACATGGGGAGAATTTGACAGGACACAGGTGTACAGGGATTGGGAGACAAATAAATGTGTGTAGGAACTAGAGAAGAGGAAACTGTGAACTGGTGAGAATACAGGCAGGGTGTGGTGGAGTTATTGTTTGAAGGACGAGGTGTGTAAATATATTTGGAATGATAGTCACTGGGGAGGAACGAGCTCATGGACAGCTGTACTGTGGGAGCATCCAGAAACAGGGAGACTGGAGACACCTGCTTTGGTGTAGGAGAGAATAAGACTGCACATGAAAGAAGACTATGATTGGGGTTAGAAATCAAAGAAAACAGACTATGATAACAAACTCTATCTCCTAAGACTGAGAAAGTAGGCAAAAAAAGGTCAGATAAATGTCATGTAGATAGATGTAACATGTAGATTGATGTAACATAATGCATACAGATAAAAATAATCTAGCCTATATCTACACAATTTTGAATGTAGAACTGGCACTTACAATTCAATAAAGAAATTGTGGTCTAATGTGCTGAATGCATCTTTATAGCTACTGACAACACTGACAAAAAAAGGAAGGGCACACCATAAACCTGCCAGTAAAACTTACCTATCTCATTTATCTTAGCATCAAGAAACTTAATATCAACTAAACAATAAAAATTATGAAAGGCCAAGCAAAGGTGAGATACATGAAACTCACTGAGTACAAGTGGCTCCCATCTCTTCAGAATGGGGGGTGCACGAGAAATTTGTCTTTAGGAATGAAAAGCAGCATCTGCCCATGGGTCCCAGCTGGAGTCTGCACATGGGTCACATTCATATTGCATATGTGGGCCCAGAGTTGAGCATAGCTGTGAACTAACTTGTATCTACTGTAGACAACCAGGAAATTAGTATCCTGTTTGACTCAGACTGACAAATACTATAAAATATCTGAAAAAGTTGAACTGGAAAAAAAATGGATAATGTTAAAGCACTTTAACAAAAATCAAATTTGCAACACGTGCAAGTGTTGATGATATTTTTACTGTTATGACCATGACAGTTCTTCCTTTACTGAGTGTTACAGGGAGAGGCAGGAAGCATGGCAAACCACAGAGGACCAAGCACAGTGCACTGGCACCTTTTGACAAACGTTCCAGTTGCAGTCTAAACTGCCTTAGTGCTGCACTGATTGCTAGTGTGTCCTATATTTGATGCGACAGACATGATTACCTTTGTGTTACCCTCTGAAAGCTTCCCCAAACAGTAGCTCCTTCACAGCAGCCTATCAACGCCACCATACAACTCTGCCTTGCTTACACTCTTTCTTTTCCCTTCTCTGCTGTGTCTTTCCTAATGATTAGATCTCTGAGGTTAACAGCTGGGACAGATAGCAAAGGCCATGGGGAGGTCCAGGGAGGAATGTACTGGGCACAGAATCTTCTGGAAGGCCAGGAGACCTCCTCTGACTGGGACACAGCCTGCTAATCATGCTCCTTCCCTTCCCCTCTGGATGCATTTGAATATCGGATAAACAGCTTCACCTGGTCAGCACAAAAGTATGTCAGATTTATAATGTTTTCAGCAAACTAAAACATGTCCTTGAAAAGCTGCTCTTGAACAGAGCAAAAAAAGCTTTGAGAAGCTTCTGCTAAGTAAAAGAGCAAGGGAAAACACAAGTTTTGTAACTTGTTGAATCTGTGCGCTTAACTTTCTGAAAATGGAGATAAAGTCTGTTTTACAATAAGAGCTATGTTGGAGACAGCTTATCTAAAGCACAGATTTGGCTTCTCTCCTTTAGCTCTGTTCTTTCCCTTGCAGTTCTTTTTATCCTTTGCCTTGTTTGTTCCCCCACCCAAGTATACCATCATCCTACAACTGTTCCCTGCAATGCTTCTGAGCAGCACAGCACAACAACGCACAGACAAAGGCTGGGGAAATAAAGAGAGCACTTATAGTTGAATCATGTGAACAAAAATTACTGTTTCCAGTTTGCCTGCATGTAATGTGAAATTCCACCCTTGGTGTGTCCCTGTTTAAGAAAAAAGCCCCAATAATGTCCTGTGGTCTGACTCCTCTTCCACTTCAGGCTGAAACTCACGAAACTGAAATCAGGAGGATGCGAAGTTCAGTCATCACCTGGTGGCATAAGGGAGGCCATAAGGAGGCTGGGAGCATTCAGAGCTCAGAACTGCTGCTCCTGTTTTCTCCAAGGATGGAAGAGATGCTTCCTTGCACTACCCAGCTCTGCAAAGAGTGGCCGCTCTTTTACCTGGAGAGGCCACTCTAGGTGTGTGGATGGAACTGGTCATTACAGTAAGTCAAACATGTTAATACATTTTAAAGAAGCATTGAAAAAGCACAGCTGCTTTGTCCATTTGAATTCACTTTCAAGCTCTATGTTTAGTACTCATGAGAGGTTTATATTACCAGCTTAATAGCTTACACTACCATCAGCTCAAACTACAAGTGTGACTCCAGTTAAATGCTAGACCCTGGTCCAGGTTTTTGTCTCTTCTTACATCATACTCTGGTCAAGTTAACAGCCTCTCAGACAGTTTAGTACCAGTTTTAGGGGATGCCTCAAAGGAGGAATCTTTGATGTGACCAGCACATTCTCTTAAACTGATTATATTGCTCAATCTCACAGGCATTGACCTTCACTATTTCAGTGTGCTCACTTTGAGCAGGACAAACATCAAGGCTGCCTTGAGCAGTGGTGAATGAGGTGGGTCTGAATTCATTACATTGAATTAATTCCATTCAGTATTGCCAAAAATAAAAAAACAGCAAAAGTTGATTAAATAAAATCAGCAAAAGTGGATTTCATAAAAACAGTAAAAGAAAGCAATTATATGGCATGAAAGAAAGCAGCTAGTTGACTGGAGGTTATGAGGTTACTGTCACAAGATTTCTTTGCAAAAGTATAGATGAGAAGCCCCCAAAAATCCACAACAATGATGATCTCTTTTGATTGCTTTGAATCCTATAAATAAGGTTAGGACTCCTCAAACAATATTCACTCCCACTTGGTCCTCGTGATTATTTAACAACATTTTCATAATTCATGTAGACATATAATAACATCCTGGCCCCCAAATCCAGAGAGTTCAGTTGAAATGAATGAAAATGGAAAGAGTGACACATTTCTCTCTCCAGCTGCACTAGTAAAACAGTGGTTAACCTCTGAGTCAAAGCTGTGGCTGCTGTTCATGCTGCTCCACCTCCTCACCACAGCAGCATGGTGAACACTGAATGATGGATTTGAACAACGATTCCAGTTCAAATATTTGTCTCAAACACGTTCTCTAAACTTTTGATTGCTCTCTTGCAGGAAATAATGAAGAAACCTTTCTCGACTTGCAAGCAAGCCTTACTATACTTTGTAATAATATTTCACTTCACTTTTTTAAATCTTGCTTTTAGATGTGGTCTCAGAAATCTGACTCACCCTCCTTTCTTCCTACTAATACAAACTCTCTTCTTGCCATTCACTCAGCATGATAACACTAAAATTTTGAGAAGGCTGTCTCTGACAGTCTGTGTAGGTCCTGTTCAACTTTTTCTCTATATTAGTCTGACTGGTCTGATAAGCTTTGAAGGTCTAAGACAAAGGTTGAGACAGTAATACTTCCTATAAAATTAAAATTATCAAAATACAAGGAGGTTTATCTCAGATCAGGGGGTTTGGAACACACTGCATTGTCTCCCTTGGGAGAACATAGCAAGAGTCCTCATTTATTGTTATTACCAAGGCTGTCCTCCCATATAAATCTCTTGGTAATATAATTTAATTTTACATGTATTCCATGCCCTTTAGGGCAAAAGTGTACATCACAGATGTTTGTGCCCTGCTTTGCATAATGGGACAAGACATGACTGAGATGCAATATTATAAAAAGGACGATTATAAGTAATACATATAATGGTTTTGCTCAGTTAAAAAGGCAAGAGACAGAAAGGTCTATAATTAAGGGATCCCAGCACTTGAATTTCTACAGTATTAATTTAAGCTCTGCACTTTGCAGCAGGAAGGTCTGGGTGCTTCAGAGGAAGCTGTTTCTTTGGCAGGATGCTCGAAAGCAGGAAGATTTCAACCTTCCTATACTATCACCCTCTGTTTTGCCTTGACATCTCAAGAAAGAAAGACTTCAGCTCCTGTGGAGACAAGTCAAATTATTTAAATGATTTTCATCTATTTTCACTATGAAACATTTTAATCCAGGCTGCACATGGGAGATATGTTCACTTTTGTTTCTAAAGCTTGTACAATATTGGAACCCTGTACTTTACTTGGGTCATGAAGTAACTTGATACACCGGGAAGAAGTGTAGAAAATAGTTGAATATAAAATATGTTCTTAAGTTTAATCTTAATTAAACATTACACTAGTTAGTTGTTTTAGTTTTGTCTAGACCCAGCTCAGGCTGGTATGTTAATTCCTGATAAGACACGGCCTAGACTCCTCAGTGTTTGAGAAGACATAGCTTCGCACAGTTCTCCTGGCTTGCAGAGCAAGGCTGAATTCAGCCTGGCCCACCTGTTGGTGATCCAAAGTAGTTCTTGCCCAGTGAGAGTGGGGTATTATTCACACACACACCTTGCACCTTTTGCCTTTGTGAACTTCTCTCTCTCCTCCACTTCACTGCCAGCAGAATGGAAGTTCTGACCATTGAGGCACCTGAGTGCAGGCCCCACAAAGACAACCCAGCAAACACACAAACAAAGAAAGGTTAGCGAGAGCTCCAAGACATTCCTGATAAACTCAGACCCTGACAAACTCAGTCCAAACTTCCTTGATGGGGAGCAGTCAGCAGAACAAAGAATGCCTAATGGGTACAGAACAAAGGAACTGACCTTCCATGAAAATAGGAGTTAGTAACAACTGTTGTAGGACCTGATGTCCTACACACAGATACGCCATAAAGGTATAAAAAGTAACTTGCTGCCTACCCAAAATGAACTTCTCTGCAAGTCTTATTCTGCATTTGATTTCCCAGACTGGGGATGCACATGGATGATCTTTGAAGTAAAACAACTTCTCTCTTGTCAATTAGAAACCAATCTTCACAGTGGTTTGGTGACCTTCATACTGGTAGCACCTTGCGTAATATATTTACAGGCATGCACACAGGTAAAAGTTTGTGAGTATGTACTTGTTTTACTCGTTGGAATTCTGCAATAGCTTCTAATATAACTATATTTGCTTTACTCTTGTAATATAAATACTTGTTTTCATAGTAATTCTGTAGTGACTTCTAGCATATTTGTTTTTACTACTATTAGTAAAAGTTTTGTTGTGATTTGTAACCCAGAAATTCACAGAACCCCTGACTTCTGTGCCCTTGTTCACTGCTGAATCCTGAGAAGAATGCCACAGTCACCATCTTTACACACCCATGAGTCAGGTAACCCCCACAGGCAGGAATTGTTGCAATGCCCATCTCTGCAGGTACTCACACTGAATCTAGAGAAAAGATAGAGGACAAAAAGAGTCATGGAAATCCAGAGAAGAAAAATATTCAAATTCAAACAATTTCAAAATGAACTTCATGTATTTTGGAATGTAGCAGCTTACTGTGCCATCTGCATCTGTATTTACTGTGAGTGGAGACCTAAGTTTGATTACCAAAATCCAGGCAAAATATTATCCATGCCAAGTAACTCAATAAACAGAGCAGCAATATTTTATTGTAACTTTAATCTCACAAGTCAGTTGCTAACACAATTAATCAAGGATCATGGGAAAAAATGTGACTAGCAGGACAAAAGCATACACACAAGGTTCTCTACTCCCATAGCAAGACAGTCCCTGAGTGACTGCCAAAAGGAAAAATGAAGAAATTTTAATGAAAGTGAGCAGAAAAGCTCCTGAGGGTCTTGAAAATAACAGTATTGGAGTTTGTTTGAACATTCTTAAATTTTTCCTTTTTCTTGCTCCCCCCAAAAGCCAATTTATAGCTGTGTTTTATAGCAATGAAAATACACATAGGGAATGTCTCCAAAGGAGAAAACATAATATTAGTGCCAGCTGGGATTGCTTAACACCACTGTCAGCATTTGCCAACTCATTTTTAAAAGTTGCACTCACAGAAAACCAGTTCATGAATTGCTTCTGTATTCCACATTATTGTTTGCTTTCCTTTGGCTGAGGAGAATTGCCAGGTCTCCAGGCAATGGAAAGTTTCCTAGGAGAACAAAAAAGGCTCTCACAAGTTCTTCTGGAAGCAAGAAAAAATTGCTATCTCAAACCATAACGCAACACACAAGGGAAATTGTTTTCCTTCTCTTCTGTAACCTGACCCAATAAAATGAATTATCATAAAAAATTATTAAAATAAATCCATAGAATTTGAGTTCCTGTGAGCTGTTTAGGAAAGTCTGAGGTCTGGGTTCATCTTCCCCAGCATACAGATTCAGAGTACAGACACATTTCTATGGCTGAGATAATTTTGAAGCAGACAGAGAGGAGCAGTTCTCTGAACTGTTCCCCACAATTCTTGCTGGCCACGGATGGATTGTCTGATGAGATGAACTCAAAGTGCTTAAGCCAGGCTTTGTGAAAGTCTGAGAGACCTGGGAGCTGCGAGGTCTGAAGAGCTTGCCCTGAAAAGAAGGGAGGAATGTGACATGTGCATCTGGGGAATTGGAAGAAGGAAGATCTTAGGATAAGTGTGGCAGGGGGCAGGGGCACTCTTGACAGAAGGAAAGCTGGAGACTGTTTTATTCCCTGCTAAGGCCTGTAGGACAAGAGAAGGATGTAGGAGAAGCTGTTGTGCTGAAAGGAGTTGGTCTCCTTTGGGTAAGACAAGAGAATTGCAAATTACTCTTATGAAGTTTGAGCTAATGTTAGTGTTTGAAGGACATTTAAGGAAAAGGGAAGAAGCAAAACCATCTGGTAGTGTTTTTGTTGTGAATGCTGCTGATCACTAAAAGCCTACTGAGAAAACCATTGTTTCTTATCAATATCTTACAATTAATTACAGAGATGCCACAGGTAAGGTTTCTTGGTTTAAATGCAGGAATGGAAGTTAAAATCTGCCTCATAGGCTTTAAATATTTCCATTTTAAAGGCTGATCAATCTTAATTAGGTCTAATATAGTGGCACTGAGAAAAAAACTATGTCATGACACAGCCACAACAGTTTTCAGTTTAAAGTGATTTGATTTTGCACATCTTCCACATGTACTGCTAATTAGATCACTGCAAACAAATTTCTACTTCTTATTTCTGATCAGACTCTTTCTATTGTCCTTCCTGTTTGTCTGTGGCTCCTATTTTTGCACCCTAGGTTTATGGTAGTTTTGGTACAGAGTGGTTGCTAAGACAAATTGCTGCACCAAAAAAGGCATTTTAAACTTTACAAAATATAGTCAGAGAATCCTAGAATGTTTTGAGTTGGAAGGGACCTTAAAGATCATGTACTAAAGAATAGTGGATAAGTGTTATTAATAGAGAAATAAAAAACTAGGAAGAATAATTTATTATTGAGTGAATGAGCATGTTGTAGTTCCAGCTGTGTTTAGCATTCCAAATTGCTTAGGCTTTTCCTAAGACTTCCTTGCAATTAGTTTAACATCAGAGGCCTATTTAGCTTGTGCACAAAGCTTCTGATGACTAATCAATTAAAAATGACTAACAGTGGCTATGCTATTTATTTTTACAACACTTTAGCAAAAAACAAGGCATCTGCAAGAGCACAGTGGAAATGCCAGCACAAACTCCCAAACACATATCCAGCACACAAAAAACCTGACTTCTTAAAAAATATTAATCAAACTATTTTGCCCAGTCTCTGGAAACATTTGAGGCAACACTTAGCACAGTGATTCATGTTCAGCCTTAGAAAGACAGCAGACTACTCTCCCGAGGCAAAGGGTTTATGGTCCAGTCATGGGAAATCAATTGATCTAGATAATGAATTCTTTTATCACACGCATTACCTTCCTAACAGCTTCTACTTTGATTTTCTTGCCTTTTAGTTGAAAGGAATGTGAAAGCTCAGGCAAAAGTAGCTTTGAATTTGGTTTCCTTTGTCTCATACAGTTCTGAGTTTTTGCAGTGGTAGAAGAAAGCTGCAGTACAATAATTTCTACATACTTCTAAGAAAGTAACCCTTCCTAGAATGGAATCACCAACACACCCTAGTGTCTGCTGAGATAAGAGTTTTATTTTTCAAAGCTCAAAAGTTACTGCTTTTAAATATTCTTTCTGTTTCAGCTACCATATTTCAGAGTCTTCTGTAATTGTGGATGTCCTTTTTGTGCTCTTCTAAAAATTTAAATATGAACAGTCTTTTATGGCTTTCCTTGGGCCATTTTGTTTCTCCAGTTTACTTGTTGCTTTTGTTCATGTAATGACAGGACAAGGGGATCAGGCTCACACTGAAAGAAAGTATGTTTAGATTAGATATTAGGAAAAATTCTTAAAAAATTAGGAAAAATTCTTTACTGTTGCCCAGGGAATCTGAGGATGTTCCATCCCTTGAAGTGCTCAAGGCCAGGCTGGATGGAGGTATGGGGAACCTGGTCTAGTGGAAAGTGTTCCTGCCCATGGCATTGATGTTGGAACTACATGATCTTTAAGATCCCTTTCAATCCTCACCATTGCTTCACTCAACCGTGATTCTATGAATTTTAGTGGTACTCTAGCAAGATACTGGGTAATCTGATGAGAGACATGCAGCAACTGTACAGTTTGTCCGGAGTTTATTGTGTACTGTACCTTTCTGGCTGGGTGAGAAGGCTAAATCTTGAAGTCCTCTGCTCACAGTTTTGGGTTTCTTTTCTGCATGTTGGTTCTTACTGTACAACATTTAAGAGTAATTTCTGAGCACACATGGTACAAACTAATGAGCACATTGTGAAAGCAGAAGTTAGAGAGCTGCTCCATGATAACACCAGACTGACTTAGACAGACTTGGTTGTTAAGAGATGCGGACATTTTAAACTCACTATGTGTGTGTATATATACACTTATACACGAGGGATAAACCACAGCATTCATCTAACAGACCTCACTGCAAATTAATTACAGCCTGTTTAGTTGCACTTCTGCTGACTCCAAGAGCTCTAACCCACAAAACAGGATAAGATCTTGAGGTGGATGTGTTGGGCAGAGATACGAACTTGTGAAACTTGATTTTCATTTCAATGACTCAACTACTGGCTAGTGAAGGCATTACTTGCTTTGGCTCTGATGAGTTTTGTTAGTGCGAAAACCTGCCTCCACCTCAAGGAAGTTTTAAGGAGAATCTTGAAGCCGTTCCAGGATCTGCCTTGAGAACAGCTTTGGTTCACACCAGAACTATTCAGGTAATGTCAGTAATACAAGGATGGCTGATTTACTGAAGCAGTAATGTGGTAAAACTTTGGGTCTATTTAGTCACAGTGGAAATGAACAAAGCTATAGAGCTCCTGTGTTCTGAAGGCAAAAACTAAAATTTCTCCACAATTTTCTCAGAAGTCATGGAAAAGAGTCACAGAATGGACAGAAGAGACACATTCTGTAAAGAAATCCACAGTGAGCTTAGGTGGCGCAGGAGAAAGGAGCTGCTAGCATGCATTCCTGCCTAGGTGTGGCAGTGACAGTCACATAACTGCCAAGACCTCCCCTGCATCTGCTTTAGCAGCAGTTGCACTTGAAAGGATGTTAAAAAGTTATTATGATGTGGAACTGGTGGAAGATTTTCTAGCTTTTTTAAAAAAGAAAAATTAACCTTGATTTTTTTATTTTAAACCAGATTCCAATTGCAAAAGCTGTCTCTTGAGAGAACTGGTATGTTCATGCTTTTCACTTAAAATGTCAGTTTAAGACCTACTGCTCTATCCAGTATGAATTTGCTGTAAGTGCAGATGGATGCACCTGATCAAATATGAACTCTCTCTTTTGTGTGGAAATTTGTTTGTTTGCTAAACAAACAAATCTCAATACATGAGAATCTGTTTTAGGTTACTGCCATGTGTCCAAAAATAGGTCTGATGTGCCCGTGCAGGAGTAATGCTAAAAGCACTGTTATGAGTGTCTCTCCTTATGCTTCTGTTGCTACCTTGCCCTCTCTAAGAAGACAGAGCTTTGTTCAAGAGAGCATTGATGGATGGGATTTACTGGGATATGTAGCCAGTTTTGATTTGGACTTTAAACTTGGATAATAAGCAAATCAAGCACCCCCAGATTAAGATTTTCCAGAATGAGGACCTTGGTGGCCACGACTTCTATTGTTGTGGTAAAGTAGGTGTGTTCAGACTGTAGGAGACTCAGAACTGGTTTGTGTTTCCAATGATTTGTAGCTTTTGGTGATACAGCAAGTTGTAGCAAGATTTAACTAAGTATAAATAGTCTTTCTGACATAAATTTGTGTTTCTTACTTGCTTTCCACATTAACTAGAAGTCAAAAGAGCCCCATGGAGGACTTTGGTGGAATTACCAAACAGTCTTTGAATTAACTCCTGTGACAGAGTTACTGCTTACAACATCAGTGATTGATGTGTTGGGAGAGGAGCTGCACCTTTCAGGGCCAGCTGGAACATCTTACTGTGTTGTTCTGAAGTTCACCCTGGACAGTTTCTCCTGCATGTTGAGTGGCACAAACCTCTGTCTGGCCTCTTGGTGCTGACTGATTTCTCAGCAATGAAGTCTTGATGGAAGAACAGGCATTGAGACGTCAGATGCCTTCAGCTGGATGCAATGACACATTTTTTCCCAATTATATGTGAACATGTACATATGTTCAGTACACAGTACACTCAGACAACTGATGCAGCACTTGAGGCAACAGGTTGGGTTGTCAAACTACTGAGGAAAACAGCTCTACAGTGGAAGAAGAGCTGTTTTTGCAAAATTACTGCTTTCTGACTGGAATCTTACTAATGTTTCACGATTGATTCATTCACATAATTCTTAAAAAAGTCTAGGAAAGATCCTCTGCTCTGTGAAAAATGCATACTTTGCTCCTGAATCACAATTTGGCAGTACTGATTGTTACGGGTGTTCTTTCAGAAGTGTACTTTCAGTTTGTAGTGATTAGTTTCTCTAAAATGAGTGCCAGAGAGTACTTTGGGGAGTTACTTTAAAAGTGTGGTCATGACCCATATCAGAATATAGATATAGTGATGTGTGCCACATTCTACAAATAACCATTTTATCTAGTATTTATCAAATATTCCAGACACCCACTATGTAAGTTGTTACACTTCCTTGAGACTAATGGGTTTCTGGCAGGCTCCCTATTCTCTTGCTACATGGTGGAGAGCTTTCCTGCAGCTTAATTTGCAGCACTGCTGTTATGGTGGAGAGCTTTCCTGCAGCTTAATTTGCAGCACTGCTGTTATCCTCTAGTAAGATATTGTAAAGAAACATATTGGGCAGATAAACACTTAGAAAAATATTTGTTTTTAAATTTCTATGGCCTATGAACTTTCCCTGATAGAGTCAGTCATCTTAACATCAAAACCAGTGAAGGCAAAAGCAGATTAAAAAGTATTTTGTGCAGCTAAAATAGAGTTTGCAAAGGCTTACAAACACATGGGAATATGAACAGAAGTTTACTCCTTTAGCTCATAAAAGGTTTTCTCCCCATTTATATTATCAGGGTAGCTGGTAAACATTTCACAGCTTTCCTTCCTGAGAGCTCCATTGCTCAAGCCAGCCCTTCATCCTGATACTGAAAACAGGGAAGAAGCCATATGAGAATCCTTTCTTTCCTCAGTGTTGAAACCAAGAGGGAAGAAAGCTAACCCATCTACTGCAAAAAAGTCCAAGCTTTCCACTTGGAAAAGAGTAATGATTCTGTGACTCTGGATCACAGCTCTTGTTTACCATTTAAGAAGTTAAAACATGCCTTCCCACATTTTTTCAAACTCATAATCAAGTGGAAAGTCCTTTCACACTCATTTGGAAATTGTTCAAACCTCAAGTTGAAGCTTCTTGTTACATTGCATTTTTATTACTCCTGTTAAAATGTATGTTTACTTCAACTAGAATGTAAATAAAGTTAATGAATGTGGATCTTGAACAAAAGCAGATACAGGGATAAGCAATCACTGAATACCCTACTGTATTGAGGAGTGAATAAAAGCAAGCTTGTGGGAACCAAAATGCAGGAGATGAAGGCAAGCACAAGGGGAAAAGGTTCTGAAAACTATGGACAAGGAAACAATTCCAGGGAAACTTCACCCTGGAAAATTCAATTTCTGCTTGAATAAGTTTAGCTTTAACACCAGACTAAACAGTGAGAACTGTATAGAGTTTCTACACAAACCTGAAGGAAGAAACTATTGTTCGAACCAAAAAAGTGATATCCTGGCACAGTGGAAGAAATAGCTGATCAGACCAGAAAAAAAGTAAACACTTAGAATCATAGAATCAAAGAACGGTTTGGCTTAGAAGGAATCTTAAAGATCACCTGTTTCCAGGTGCAGCTTACATGGTAAAGTGCAAATAGAGCTCTGCTCTAAAAAGAGAAGGTGAGCAACTTCAGGTGATGGAACAGAGGAATGGTGGCAGCAGACACTCACATTGCCTGTTCTGGTGAGTACCAGACAGATGTGAGAGTGCCTGGCCTCACTTCATGAGTGGGGTGATGGATTGCCAGGGACTGGTATCTCTTGTGTGACAGTTTCCCAGAGCAGGCATGATAGAGCCTGGCATGCCCTGGGTGCAATGGGGTGCACAGGTACAATCTGTTTCATTGAATGCATGAAATGCCTCCGTTTCCACCAGGCTGCCGAACGGGCATCAGTTCTGCTGTGCAGCAAAGCCGGGCGCTTTCTTTCCAAGGTCAGCCCAGGTAAGGTTTGCCATGAGCCCCGAGGGCAGCCTGGGCGAAAACAACGCTGAAGTCAGCTCGCCAGCCCAGGGGATCACAGCCTGAAGGGGAGCTAAACCCAGGAGTGACGGCCAAAGGAAGCGGGCTGATGCCCGAGAAAACGGGCTTAGCCAAGCTGCGGGGAGATGCCTCGCAGGAGGCCACACAGGAGGCTGCCGTGACGACCAGCTCGCCCTGTACCAGGTGCCGCACGCCCTCGGGACTCGGCAGGGCTCCGCAGGGCTGGCCGGCTCCCGGCCGCCATTCACCGCCTGTGACCCTTTCCGCCGAGCCCGGCCGGGCCGGGCCGGGAATTGTCCGGGGGCGTTCCAGGGGCGGTCCAGGGGCGGTCCACGGGCGGTCTGGGGCCGGTCCGGAGGCGGTCCGGGGGCGGTGGCCGTGGCTCCCGGGCGAGGTGGGGAGTGCTGCCCGCCCGCCCCGCTATTGGAGCGGGCAGGGGCAGCCGGCGGAGAGAGCAGGGAGGTGCGGAAGGGCGGTGGGCGCTGTGGGGACAGTGCCTCGCTGAGTCCCTGGGCTGGACTGGGCTCGGCTTCCAGTGCCGCCTGCGTGGCGGGGAGGAGACGGGAGGAGAGGGGAGGAAGGCTGGGTGGGCTGAGGGGTGCATGCTGGGGCCGGCCGGGCTTTTCCTTCCCCGCGTGTCTCCTGCCGCGCCGGGGCCCGTTTGCCTTCCTTGGTTGTGTGGGGAGCGGGACTGGGGCGTCCCCCGGGCCGGCGCCCCCAGGGCGGTCGGGGTGTCCTGGCCAGATGAGGTGCCCTGGCCAGGTGAGGTGCGGTGCTGATGGCTTCCAGAAAACCAGCTCCAAGCCCCTGGGTTTGTTGCTTTCAGCTGTGTTTTGAGGCCGTGTATATTTCTGCGGGGTGTGTTGCTGCAGTCTCCCAATCTCTGCTGGTGTCTCAGCTTTTATGGCCCCAAATAGCTTCCGTGGAAGTAATTCTTTCTTTTGTTGTTGTGTCTGCTTCCTCGTTGTGTGTCACATTGTACGAGCTCAGGTAGGAAGTGCGATGGACAAGTGAAGGCTGTAGGAGTGCTAACGCTGCTACATTTTTTAAAGTACTTGTAACAGGAAGCGGGATAATGCTTGCCGCAAATCCTCTTGACCTGCTAAAACACCACAAAAACTATTTCTGTATTTATTTATTGCATAATGATGATCAGACGGGGGCTCTTTATTAACTGCTTGTGTGACAAGAGCAAGATTTTGGGTGAGAGAGATGGCTGTGTCCAAGCCAGGAAGGAGCTGCTGCTCTGGCAGTCCCGGAGCTGTGCTGGTCACAGCCTCGATGGTGCCGGACAGCAGCCTGGGGAGCCACAGCTTGGGAGGAGAGATCCACTGAAAGTTACCGGGCTGAATCAAGGCTCTGGTGTGCTTCCAGCAGCAGCAGCTCTTAGGTTTATACGATTTTCTTCAGGGACCCGAGAAAGCTGCAGGATGTATTTGTTTTTCTTTTTCAGAAATGCAGCACCATCCACTTAATTGACTTGGACCATTTGTACATGTTTAGATCCTTAAAAAACAGGCTAAAAGGTCTTGCACAAAAGTTGCAGAAAAGTATTTTAGAATGCGGAATCCTTAATTCAGATATTTTAATTCGTATATTTTATGAGAAATGAGATGCCTATTGCTTATTTCTTGGTATTACTGGTTTCCTCTCTCCTCCTGAGATTAAGACATTATTTTTTTAATACTTTACAGCACTGTTTTTGATAAATATAATTTTGTCTATATGAGCTATTCAGGTTGTTTTAAATGCCTCCTAGCAGTACATTGAGAATGTTACTTGATACTTAATAACTTAATTTAGATTTAAATAAAAAATGTGTCACATTAAAATTCTCATTGCTTCATATTGACAGGTATCAGGAGTTAAAATGACATAGAAAAGTGTTCAAAGTATGGACTGTGAAATTAACTCCTTCCACTTGATACTGAAAGAAGGTACTGTTTTCAATTTATTTAAATATTGATAAGTCTGCCCTTTTCTCTGGGCTTTGGGTGCACTTGTTGTCTCCAGTTTGATGAAGTACACTTTCTTCAAGTTCAGATTTAGAACTGTTAATACTGTCTCAAAGTTGAAGTGGAATTTAGCTTGCAAAGACCTAACTATTGCAGGCTTCTTTGACTGCATTTTGATGTAGCTTCACCAGAATGCCTTGAATAATGGGTTTGTCTTAAAGACACAATTTTTCTGCAGTTTGCAAGATTGTCTGCAAAGGAGACACAAGAACTAAAGTTTGTGGTCATTGTGTCAATGTCCCAATACCCTTATTAGAATGCTAATTATTGTCTTGCCCTAAATTTAAGTATTTGTTTCCTTTTAGTTGTTGAATCTATCTTACAAGATTGCTTGACAGATTTGTAACATTGTGTTGTTTTTGGCAGAAGCTTCTTCTCTGGAAGATACTTGCTAGAATTCTTGGTCAGTCTCTACTGCAAGTTTTGTTGCTCTTTTAAGTCATCACTCTAATGTACAGGGCCATGCTCTTGCTTTTACATTTAGGGTGTCTGTAGAAAATTTAGTTTTGTATGTATATGCTGCTGTCTAAATGACATGTTTTGTAAAATGTTTTTTCCCTTTCTCTGCTTTTTACAGGTAAACTGAAACTCCAAAAGTGATAACCTGCTCATTGGCAAGTTACAGGAAAAGCAAGGCAACTAAATAAGCACTGTGGTATGAGGATTTAGTCAGATAAACTGTCCAAAAGAGCTATTTACCTGGAGGCTGTTGTGTTAAATTATTGAGTTCTGCACTGTGTGACCCTCACTAATACCCCAACACTTCTGCATATGAAATGCTTCAAAAGAAGGAACTGCTGTGGCTTATTTGTGACTGAAGTGAATTACATTGGATATAAAAGTAAGTCACAGCTTACTTTTTCATAGAATAACTTACCTGCTTCCTGCCATTTGTGGCTGGGTAGAAGGCAAATATTAACTAGGACCTGTGCAATAAATGTTTTGCAATGGACTGCTACATGTGAAACCAGCTTGCTTTAGAGTGAGAGGCAGCAGCATGCAAAACAATCAAAAGCTGAGGAAAGGCAAGGCCACTGAATGTAGATCTTAGCTTACAATGACTGCCAGAAGGGGAAGGATTTAATTGTTTGCCACCTGATTGACAGTAGAAAGCTTGGGGAGATCTCTGATGACACCTTACCAAAAAATACTGGCGCATCTCAGAGGGCTCGATTAAGGTTCAGAGTTTCATAGAAGCCACTTGTGGGCTATGAGGGCAGTGGTTCTGTGTTCAGTCATGTCTTTGTTGGAGAAAACCGAAAAAAAGACCTGAGGTGTGAATTGAAACTACAATTTATGGACACTTTTTTTTTGTGTCTGAACGCAGCAATTCATATTAGCTGTGGTTTCCACAGATATTTGGCTTTAGATGCCAGTTTTAAGTGGCAGATGACAATGAAGTTAGAGTATGCTTGTCCTTCTGCAAAGAACTGCAAGTTACTGTTCTTAAAAGCTACCTCAGCTGTATAAGAGCAGTTCAAAGAAGGAAACCTTGTACATCTCTGTGATTGTGACTCCTGAAAGCATTTGGAAAGAAGAGTAAATTAATCAAGCTTGTTTTTAAGTTATGCAGTATAGCTTAAATCACTATGCTAGTATAATTCTTCTTTGCTTGAGGTTTCTTTTTTTTTTGGTTTAACTATGCTGGTAAAAGACTATTACACTTATGCAAGAGTTATTCTATTGGGATAGTTCTAGTTCCAGGAAAAGTTCTAGTAGAAAACTGAAAACTGAGCAGCTGTTTGTGGAGGCCAAGAATTGCTGTAGTTGAAATCTTCAGTAACTGGGGCTAAATTACCAAATCCATGTTTTCCCTCCCCAAGATGACTAATGCTTCTTCTGATTTTTTTTTTTTTCTTAAGGAGTAATGCAGGGTGCAGAGGGCAAGGCAGCTTGAGCACTCTTACCACACCAATGGAAAAAACTTCTGGTTTGCAGCAAAATATGGCATCAAGATTTTTGCTCATTGGTCATCTCATTGTACTGATACCTCTCTTCAGTGCTGGTAGGTTAAATGCGTTGTTGAAATTGCCATTTTAAAAAGAAAATCTGCATGAGATGAATTGTGTGTATTTAGTAGGAAAGAGTTACTGAGAGCAAGTAGTGAGTTTGGGTTTGTTTTTGCTTTAGCATACTGACAATAGCTGGATGCCTCTGCTGGGTTCATATTTCACTGGGGATGTCATGGACAAATGGAGATTTTTTTTTTTTTAAATTTAGGGCTCTGAGGCTTTGATTAGCCTCTCCATGTTTCTTATGAGGAAATCCCAAAGTGATTAACTTCCTTGACCTAAGGTTAACTATAGAGTGCCTTCTTCATGAGACATTCTGTATGTCCAGTCCTGAAAGCAGTAAGGCTGAGTTTTCTTTACAATTAAATTAGTAATATTTTTAATGATAGGTCTAGTATTTCAGTAAAGTTTAAAACTACATAAGTTAATTATGCTTGTCTTGCTACTCTTGGTATAAGCAGTCTAATACTAATGTGTCTGAATTAGATTGAACTATATGGAGACTTACTTGGAAGTCTTTAAATGGGAAGCAGTGATATTTGAAAGATTAGTGAAGATTTTATTTATTTTGAAATTGAATATGTTAACTTTGTATTTGTACAGCCATTGAGCAAGATTTGTAAAATCAGTTCAACCAGATGTTTTGCAGTTGCATAAAAATTCAGTGTTGGACATAAAATCACAGAATGCTTTGGATTGAAAGGGTCCTTAAAGATGATCAGTCACCAGTCCAACCCCCCTGCCATGAGGAGGGACACCTTTCACTAGACCAGGTTGCTCAAAGTCCCATCCAGCCTGGCCTTGAACATTTCCAGGGATGGGGCATCCACAGCTTCTCTAGAAAAATGCATGCAGAAGCTTGAAAGTTTTACAATCTGCTTTATAGCCAAATGGTCAGCTCAGTTTGTGTTACAGTAATATTCTCCATTAAGTTTTTGTTTGCATGTTTGGCCTCTTGAGAACTTCCTTGTAATATCTGTCCTTTTTCTCAGATTTTTTTTTGGCTGGTGTTAAAAGAAATGCTTGCTAAGCTGCATGATTGTGTCCTGTCAACTTGTTACACAGGCATAGTTATAAAATCTGTGTTTACATTAGCCTTTTCTGTGATGTTTTGAATAATGGGCCTTTTGGTTAAAAGTGAAAATGTAGGAAGGAAATAATACCTTAGTCAAGACTTACTAATCTAAATACTTTTGCTCTCCAAATTTTTTTCCCTGATTTGTTTTGACCCCACAGTCCTAGGGGCACAATAGTGTAATGAGCTCTGCACTGATGCTGTTTGCACTGTGCTTGACATAAATAGTATTTACTTTAATAATCTGGCAATTCTGCAAAAGTACTAGCATGGTTAAATACAAGGACAGGACAGGTAAGTTGGGAAGCTTGGAGTTGCCTGATGAATCCCATGGATCTTCTTACACTCTGTTTTGCAGTGAGGCTGTTTGACTTGCATGTGCCTGTTGCTGGCTACTACAAAGAGGGAAGTTGTGCCTTAAGCTTGTAAAATATGTGGTCATGTTCTCAACCAGAAGGTGGTAACAAACAAATAATAGCCTTGTGATGTTTTAATAGTAAATTGTTACAGAAAGTTTTTCTAATTCTGTGTAACTTGGAATGGGTATTAATACTTCCTAAACATAAAAGAATAGAAATTAAAAGTACTGATCTTTTTTCATTTTTTCTATTTTTTTTTTTGTTAACAGAAGGGTGTGTTATTTGTGATTACTTTGTGCTTGTTGGAGAGCCTATAGCTATTACTTGCCCAATAATTACATTACCAGTGCTTCACTCTGATTACAATTTGACATGGTACAAAAATGGGAGTGCTACAGCAGTGACCACAGAGAGAAATGCCAGGATCCACCAGCGAGCGGGCTTGCTTTGGTTTATTCCTGCTGTGCTGGAAGATTCTGGACTTTATGAATGCAATGTAAGGTAAGGAAGGAAACAAGTGGATTGCTAGTGTTTGCAAGTGCAATAATTAATTTGTGAAACTTGAATGTACAAAACTTCTTGTTTTAGGTAAGATGCTTGGATCAGTTGAAAGCGCTGTTTTCACCATGCCTTTAGTTTCTGCATGCTGCCTGTGTTTCTCTGCTATTCCATGCATTTAGTACTACAAAAGTTGTTCATACAGAAGACTGTCTTAAAGCCTGACAGTACTAAAAATGGTCTGTGGGGGTGGTTGGTTGCTTTGTTTGTTTTGGATGAAGTGTAAGGTCACAGGAAAATGCCTTAACCTCTTTGGCTTTTCCTGTGTTCAAACTGCTGTTTGATACTGACAGAACAGAAGAACACTGGTTTCTTTGTAGGACAAGGCTAAGAGGAGCAAACAGTGCATTTTATCACCCCACAGACTTTCTGGAGAGCTTAGCAACTTTTTGGAAGTATTACTAGAAACCCACAAGTTAAAAGGCTGAAAACAGTTTTTATGATTTATTTTAAAATATTGCAATTCCTGGTCAAAAATGAGAATACATTAAAAGGGCAAAACAGTGTGGTAGACAGCTTTAGAGACTGAAAATAATGTGTCTCTACTACTACTCAAATAATCTGAGTAAATAGAGAACTAAAAAGGAATAGATTCTTTGAAAAGTATCTATATCTAGCTTTATTAGTACTTTAGAGCTCTGGGTAGATCAATCTAGCCAAGCACTGGACTTCACTACTGAATTAGGTCATCAAATCTTTTTTACAATGGTTGAAATTCAATGTGTGCTGAACAGGAAATTAAGTTTGGGAAGACATACATAAAATGTTCCTTTCCTCATGATGTTGCCACAACACACTGAGAATAGCCAATACAGACTTTTCAGGTGGCCTTAAATTTGGTTTAGGAGTGTGTAGTTATGTGTACTGGTGTGCTGGAGGGATCTGGGATGTGAATGATCAGCAAAAACTTCCAATGTCACAGGCACATTCCTTCACTGGAGTTTACCAGGAAATCAAAGTTGGAAGTCAGAAGACCTGTAATCCATTCAAAGCTACCCAGCTGCATAATTTTAATTTAGCCTTTCCTGCTATGGTTTTAATTACTTGAGGATGAGATGTGTTCCTGTGGGCACCTCACATCTTTGGCTTACTTTTAATATCAGCAAAACAAAAAACTTGCTGAGGTTCAGTCATATTAGCTGTAAGCAATATTTTGTGCATCAGACTCTTAAGCCTTAACTGCAGCTCTGAGAAGTCCTGATGTCCCCTCTCTTGTGTCCAGAGCAAATTCCATTTCTGCTCACAACACAAACTCAGAGCTTGTTCCCATCTCTTCACCTGGAACAGCAGCTGAGAGGCTGAGGTCGGTGTTTACAAACTAAGGGAATATAGCATGGGTGTTATAGAGGAGAGGCTGGTAGACATGCTCAAGTCTCTCTCCCTGACTTGCTAGAAATAATACACTGTTAATTACATGACTTGTCTGCTGTTCTAATTATAGGAGCCTTAACCACTCTAACAAAAAAACGATAAACTTAACAGTTTTTAAGAACGATAATGGATTGTGTTTTAATGGAAAAATGAAGTTTGAACAAAAAGTGACGAGCACGAATATTGGAAAGATTATATGCCCTGATCTAGAACAATTTAAAAATGAAGAGAATAATCAGCCTGAAGTACATTGGTATAAGGTACTGAGCATGTATATTTCATATATAAAGATACAAAATGTATTATTTAAAATGTCTTATGAATTAACTGTCAAAAGCAGCTTTTGGAAGGGAAGGTTTATTTTCTCTACAGTTTGAGTATGGCATAAGTGTGAATAAGATTTGTGCAAATCTGGTTCATCCTTTGATTATTTTATGTAGATAATAAGTTTTAAAACTTGTATGTTTCTGTAAATAGAAGGCTTTGCATAATTATTTCAGTTTCTCAGAGTATTAGGCATTGTTGACCATGCTGTGGTATTCTTATGCTGCCTACATTGGTTCTGTGAAAATGCTCTGTAGACTGAGCAAGCTTGAAAACATGTATTTTATCTGTTTTAAGGGAAAAATCTAAACAGTTCAACTCCTAATTCTGATGCTGGTATTAAGGCAGCTACATGGGCCTATACAGGTTGAATAACCTATGTAGAGCACCTATATATCTTTTGAGGTAAAGAGATTCTCCACTGCTTGCAGGTCAAGGAGGAGAAGAAAGCTTTTTTCCCAGAGTTTGCATTGCCACAGAAATGGGGATACACCCAAACAGCACGAGGCACTGCTACAGCAACTCTTTCATCACAGAGAAGGAGGGGTGGAGGCATGTGTTCTCATAAACTCTGCTGCATGTGTAATAACTTCTACTGCACCTGAGATAGAAAACTGTCAAGCTGTGAACTAAAGCACAGTGTTTTAAAACTTCAAGGATTGGCTGCAGTGATTTTTTTAAAAGTGCAAATGAGCAAGATGTTATCAGACTTTGTTAGACTGGAGAATGCTTGGAAAAGAATCCACATTATGGCTTTCAAAGAACTCAGTGTTTGCCAAACATTTTAATCATCAGTAGAGTACAGTAACTGCTTTGTCAGAATTTTTTAGTTCCCTTTAAGTCACAGGTACCTTTGGTGTGTTTAGGAGTGTAAACCTGGATTTCTTGAAGACAAGCGACTTCTTTTGGCAGAGGGTGAAAATGCTGTCTTGATTCATAATGTAACTGTGCAAGACAGAGGAAACTACACATGCCAGATGGTGTACACATATATGGGAAAACAATTTAATGTTTCAAGAACCATAGGTCTGGAGGTTAAAGGTGAGTGCATGAGGTTATTCTGTTTTTGGCTGTGCTGTAAACATCTGTATGCAGGCATAAGATATTTGGCAAGCTACTTTTCAGCTCTGTGAAATTAGAGTTGTAAGTCTTCTTTAATTTATTCCTGAACATAAAATTGAAAGGCAGTGTGGCATGTTGTTACCCTTGAGCTTTGCTTTTGAGGAAGAGTTGTCATGGGGAAATGAGTAATGCAGGGTTAGGAATGAGAATTAGAAGAAAGCAGTGGTTCCTGGAGTGGAGGCATTGCTTTTGCCAAAACAAACAGTGCACAATTAAAGTAAATAAACTTAAAAATAGAAGATTTTTTTCCTGAGACTATCACAGCAAATGACCTGCTTGAAGCCCTGTTGGTAAACTTGCTTCTCCATTGATGGGAAAGGAGATGTGATAAGCTGTATAAATAATAAAAAAGTTAATAAATCTTCCTCTGGAAGGGGTTGGCTTACTGTTGGCACTTGGTTGAGCTTTTCTGCTCTCACTCTGTCAGTAGTGTAATTTATTGCACTTACCATTGTGATTATGTCTTTGTGGGCAATGTTGCTGGTGACCTGACTTGTAACATGATAAAAGTCCTATCAGAATAGTTGTCTGGAGAGACAGGTCCATCTTTTTAGGTTAAACCAAAATTCGGACTTTATATAGGAGATATAAGAACAGTGAGTTGTTTGCAACAAATCTGTACATCTGCAGAATGATACAATTCCAGCCCAGTTTAAGTATGTGGGTTTTTTTTTAACTTTTATTTAAAAAAATATTCATCTTATCCAGGAAGTAATTGATACAACCCTTTTCCTCTTCCTTATCCATCTCCAAAGAAGTTAACTGCGTTTTTTGGTTTTGTCTTTGTTTGTTGGTTTTGTGCTACTTTCATGTCTGCTGCCAGTAAATTTGAGTTTTTTTAAAGCATTTTAAAGTTGTTTTTTTTTTCTGTTACCTTGGAACTAAAATAGAATAACTTGGAGAGAGTAGAGCAAATATCTTATGAGACATTTCTGTTGTAAATTTGAAATTTGTAGTAAGTATGGCACTACAATAATACCAAACAATAACACCAAACCCACTGTAAAACCAAAACTATTGTCAGTTGAACTAAGTTGTGGATCTTTTCCTGCCTGAAGGTGTTATTTTTCTTTGTTTTGGTTAGAAAAACCACTGCAGATGCAACCAGAGTTTATTTATCCAAGGAACAATACAGTTGCAGTAGAACTTGGTAAGTATTGACTGTTTAAGAGATCATTAACTTTAATGAAACAAATAAGCTCCTGGTCTTTTTGAAAAGATATGTGAGTAGTTCCACAGACTTCAGCAAGACTGGGAGATAAGTATGTGGATTGACAATATCTGGAAGACAGAGGATAGATAATAGAACGTGCTTCCCACAAATAATTTGTGGGGGGAGGTAACTGTGCCTAAGATTGAAGTCTCTTGACTAGCAGTGTTGTGCAGGATGCATTTATTTATTTTCTGTTATTTCCATCTATCCTTTTCACCATTTCTCAGTGTTTGTGTCTTGATGTATCCTCAGTATCTGTGGAAATATGGCTTATGTACATGTAGCACATTAGGATGGTTAGTAGTTGACCCATTCAGTAGCTGATTTTCTTCCTGTGTGTTTACTGTCTCCCTTCCCTCTCCACAACATGGATTTTATTCCTTGTTTTAGGGTAATACAGATTTTGGATACTGATGTTTTGTCAAACAGTGAGCTGCTAGTTGATGCATATCCCAGGTACTGTTTATCTTGGAAATTTATTAAATAAGAGATTCTGGGTATAAAGAATAACTTCCTCACAGAGAGGACAGCTGGGCAGTGCAGCAGGCTGCCCAGAAAAAGTTGTGATGTCTGTATTTAGAGGTTTTAGAGCCTGATTGAATAAGTCTCTGAGCAGCCTGATCTGACCTCAGAATCAGGCCATACTTTGAGCAGGAAATTGGATTCCTGCTCAAAGTTCCTCGCTTTCAACCTCAATTGTTCTGTAATTCTCTGGGCCAAATATATGGTGTTGCAGTCTTTTCCCAAGCAAAGTTACATGTGTTTAAAGTGCACCACATATCAGACAGTTGTGTTCCACTGACGAAGTCCAGAAGAATGAGATTGGAGCTGCTTAAACTGTATTTTTTAAAATCATTTTGTACCAAAGGGGGCAGTTTCAAACAAAATATTTGATTTAAAAGGGCATTAACTGATTTTGGAGAAGTGCGATTGGCTATTTACTAGAATTTTTTAGTACAGGAAACAGTTTTGTAATCATTTGAGGAATTAGATCTTTAGAGAAGCTCTGAGCAAAGGTTGCATTTGGACTCTAACACCACATGGGAGGTCAGGCCAGAGCATTGTGGATTATTTTTATGTGCATCACCCTCATGGAATCTCACATAACACATCTACTTTTGCTGTTGCTTTTTCTGAGATTGAGCTTGTAAATTGTGTGCAGCAGTTGTTGTTTTCTCTTATTAAAGCTTCATGTTTCTTTTTGTGTCATGTGAAGCATTTTTGTTTATCCCAAATTCTAACTTTCAGTATATATGGTGTTAAATTGGACAGCACTGAAACACTAGTGGGTTTTGTGTGTGTGTGTTTAGGGTTGTTTGGGGGTTTTAGTGTTTTTTTTTTTTTTGTTCTGTTTTTTTCTTTTTGGCCTCAATAGCTTATGAAAAATAAAGACTTATTCTGAAGTGCCAGGTTTTGGTGAGGATTGGTATATTTTGACCAGAACTGTGATTGTGCTTTAACAGAAATTATGTTCTTGCAAAGTCCAGAAGGCTTTGTTTTAAACAGTGAGAATATTCAGGATCTAATACCAAAAGTATTGCGTTAAAAGTTTATAGTCCGGTGGTCTTCAGATGGTTATTTAATTCTGTTGAAATAATCTAGAATCACTCAGCAGCTCCTTCTTTTCTGGTAATTGAATCTTCTCTGTCTTCATTACAAAAAATACATGCCTGAAAAACTTTCAGTTCTTTCACTGTTAAGGGAATTTGTTCACCAGATTTTTGATGAAACAGGGAGACTTTCCATAGTAATTATTTTACCTCACGCAACCCTAACTTTTGTGTGAAAACTTGACTTTTTCTTTGTAACTGTAACTATGGAAAAAATGAAGTAACGTTACAGTCGGACTTCCCTGTACTGTATCTCCCACTCATGAAAGTATCATGTAAGTCTCATCCCCAGTTTTGGCTGGTAGTTATCTCATTTAATTCAGAAAAGTTCTTACTGATGCAGCCTCTACTCAGGAGGAGTCTGATCTGCAGGCTCTTAAATTTACTGAAGGCAGTGTTAGGGTTTTTTTTCAATGCTTGATAGCATTTCCTGAGCAATTTATTAGTCCAGGGGCTGGCTGTGACACTCAGCCTGAGTCATTAAGACTGTGTTATAGGACATCTTGTTTAGACTCCTTATTGTAGACTTTGGTCCATATTTGTTACAGCTTGGACACAGCATTAATTAAAAGTTGTGCTGGTGTATTGTTCGGTGCTTTGGACCACCTAGGATGAGCAAACCTTGACTGCTTTACAGACATTAGAGTAATAGCCATAGATGAGACTAAAAGGAGACTCCAGCCACAAAGTGAGTTTATTGTGACTACTGAGATCTACAAACGATTCCCTATTACAGGAATACATTGGGGGGACACGGAATTTGAGATTTCGTTTTGTTTGTTTTAAAATGACGTTGCCATTCAAATATTCAATATTCTCTGTCCAGTACCTTCAATGAGGTACTGGGGGAAAAAAATAAAACCTCCTACTGCATGTCTGGCTGTGAGTCAGAATCTCTAAGCAGCTGCATGAACACTTGTATGGAAACAGCTATAAGATTTTTGAATGAGAAGTGGCAGAAGGTGGCGTAGAAACTTAACTACATTCATGAATGTGTGAGCATGGAATGCTTGAGGGGATTTTTTTGAATAATTTTGCAATGCACTAAACCACATCTTAAAAAAAATTAATTGTTGTGGTAGAAGGACATGAGGGAAGAGATCGGGGAGCATCTCTGATTTCTGTGTGAGCTCTTGTTCCAGTGACTGCTTTCCATGTGAGCTAAAGGTTTATTCCATACTTTTGTTAGAGACCATCCCTTGGTGGAAGCATGTAGATCTGATGCGGTTCTAGGAAATGAAAGACTAAGATCTTTACGTAGGCCAGCTGAGAGAGCCCACCTTCTGCTATCAAATCCTAACTTCCATGAGTAAAATACAGAAGGAAAGGAATCCAAGAAAGCTGCTTGCCTTCCTGTACATGGAGCTCGCTGAGGTACATTGGCAATAAATACATTTTGCAAATTGGCTTGCTTAATACTGAGGTGTTCTGTAAGATCTGGACTCTTGGTGGCAAAGGAGCTGAGTGACAGGTGAGCTTGATGTGGAGGTAAAGTGTGATAATATTCAGAAACCATCCCAGTGGACAGTGCTGGGCAAAAGATCCTGATTTGGTGTAAAGATATGCAAGGTCACTAAGAATGGGATTCAGCTCCCAGATGTAGGTTGTCTGCACATGGGTATGTGCATGTGATCCAAGGTCCTTAACTCAGGCCAGTATCAGCAGGAGCTCCATTCAGTTGCCCACACAAAGAGTACTGTTTTGGGTGGTCTGGCTACTCTAGCAGTGTGGTTTTCTTGAAGATCTGGAGTCCTGTCTGACAGCTCCATAAGGATACCTCAGATGCTTGAGGGCATCTCAAATGTGAGATGCTCTCAGATGCACATGCAACTGATTCGAGCCCTGGAGATCTTTCAGTGGAGTCCAGAGAGTCATTCAGTTAAGGTATCTACTTTAATGTGAGTGGACTTCAGCAGAGATGAACTCTGTTACTAGCTTAGACACCTAGCTTGCATGTAGATGTGAACATTCAGACACTTACATTTAGGGTGGAATTTATACCCAGATTGTAGACACCCAAATTTGAATTACAAATGGATGAGTTTTAAGGACTTTACTTTTCAAAAAGTAAGTAAGTTTCTTTTATATCCCTCCTTTTCCCAGCTATTCCCTCATCACTTGATTCTGCTCCTATTACAAGACTTTCAGTTTCTGTGTTTACATTTGGTTTTTTGTAGGCTCTCATGTAGTTATGGAGTGTAACGTATCAAGTGGCATAAATGGCTTGATTCCATTCTGGCAAGTTAATGATGAGGATGTCGATATCTTTGATGAAACCTACAGGGAACAGTTTTATGAGTAAGTATCCTTATACATTGAATTTGTAGTGCATATGTAGGTGAAGTAATCTGCAGTAATGTGCTGGGAATTCATTATAAAGTAGACTACTAGTCAAATGCCACTAGTCATTGAAAGGCTCATTAGAAGTCTGTATCAAACACAAGTATGTTCTTATTGCTTGGTTTAAAAAAAATAACATTTTATTATAAATACTGTGTCTGATACAAATAGAATGAAACAATCATGTAGATTTTTATAATACTATCGTGAAATACAATTTTGTAATACTTAGTTATGTATTTTTTTCCTTATGTGATTTTTTTTAATACTACCTTAAAGCCTGTCCTCTTATCATTAATCTGGGAAGGATACATTGTTCCAAAATAAAAAGTCACCCAACTTACTTTTATTTGTGAAAATGGTCCTTTTTAAAGTACAGACACAGCTGCTAATCCTCAGGAACACAAGGCAGAAACTCTTGTTGCAGGACATTTAGGTTCCAATGTTTGACTACCCTGAAGTAAAAAAGTGTTCAGGTGGAATTTCAGATGGGGAAGTCATTCAGTTTGTGTTCATAGCCTCTTGCCCAATCAGTGGGCACTACTGAAAGGAGCCTGGCTCCCTCTTCTCCGCTCCTTCCTTCCATCAGGTATTAACTCACATTGATGAGTTCCATCCCCTGCCCCCAAACCTTCTCTTCTCCAGGCTGACCAGTCCCTGCTCGCTTGTATGACAGATGCTCCAATTCCTTATCTGTCACATCACTGAACATGACTTGCTCCAGCAAATCCACCCATCTCTTGTACTAGGCAGCCCAAAACTGGCCCTACACTCCAGGTGTGACCTCACCAGTGCTGAAAATCACTGAAGGCTCATTTCCCTTAACCTGCTGGCAGTGTATTTCCTAATGCAGTCCAGGATGCCAGGGATCTGATTATTCCTGCTCCTATGAAGGATTTGCATTTTGCTTTGAACTTCATGAGGTTTTTTTTTCATTTGTCCATCCTGTCATGGTTCCTCTGGATGCTGGCTGTTTTATCAGACATCCCTCTGAGTTTTGTGTCACCTGCAAAACTGCTAATGGCGCACTCTGTCCAACTTGGGGGGGAAACTCAACAAACGCAACCCAAAACAAACCTGAAACAAACTAATCCCAGTATGTTTTTAGTTCATGAAATTGTTAGTTACAGAAGTATATTTACTGTGCTTCACTAGCTTCTTAGGTTTATAAAGATAAAAAAATTAATGTATTTGTGGATAGATGAATCTCTCATATTCAGCATAGATATGCAGCTATGTACAGATGTTTTCCTTGTACCTTTTCTTATGACAGAGAGGGCTTGCCTCATGGACTTGCTGTATCTGGAACAAAATTTAACATTTCAAAAGTGACAGTAAAGGACTATGCTCATAAGTTCTTCTGCCACTTCATATATGGTTCTCAACAATTTACAGCCTACATCAAATTAGAATACCCAGGTAAGAGATCTCTTCTTGATAAAATGGTGATCATTGACTTACTTGTCATTTAGTTTGACCATGCCCTACTTAGAATTAAAGCTGTGTGATATACTTTTATGCAAAATGGGCAGTGCATCTCAGTACCTTTGTTTGTGAATTTTTTTCTCACATTTTTAGCAAAATGAAAGAAAGCAGTGCTTTTGATTTGCTTGGTCTTCTCTCATTCACTATTTTGGGACTGAAAGTGAAAATGAACTCTAACTTGTTACATGACTATAATTTCTTCATAAAGATTATCAGGGTAGGATTTAACTTCAGAAATTGTTTAAGGCATTGACTAAAACATGCAGTTTGTGGGGGGTGTTTTAAGGACAGTAAATGGGTAGGTTCACTGACAGGTCATTGAAGGGAGAGACAATGGAATGCTAGTTGGTCTGGGGAGATTAGGTCAGGAAAGCACCTCCCCACCTTTCCGACTTCCTTGCTTTCTGACTGATAGAATTTTGTACAAGAATTCTCATTCTACTGCTGTGCTGGGTTATATGTCAGTATTTTATTTTGGTGTTTCAGCTGAAGAGGAGCCTCATTTATCATATTGTTGAGGTATTTTTTCTCTGAAAGATAAAAGTAGGCTTATCAGATAACAATAATGTCAGAAAGCATAAATTAAACAGTTTGTCCTGTTCTTTCACTCTTTTTAAAACAGAAGTATTTTAATGATGAAACAATTTTGTACAATCCTTGTCTTTTCCTGGTTTTAGCTTATAGTTGTATTTGTTTTCTTTCCTATTCTGTGCTGCTGCAGCTCGAAACATTCAGGGGTACTTAATTGGAGGAGGAGTTTCCTTGGTATTTTTAGTGTTTTTTACTCTGTTTATCTACAAGATCTTCAAAATTGATATTGTGCTTTGGTATCGGGACTCCTGCCATCCTTTCCTGGGGAAAAAAGGTATGTTTATGTAACAGTGCTGAGTGTTGTTTTGAGCTCCTACCTTTACTTGCAAAGCAGTGAGTTACTCTCATGGATCATGATTGGTCTTCCTTGGGGTTTTTGAAAGGATAATATTGTTTTTAGGATGTTTAGAATTAATTCAGATGACAAAAGCCAGGAAAAAAATCAGCAACTTCCCAGGAATCCAGAATTATCATTTCTTTTCCTGAAGACCCACCCTAGTGGTTTGAATACTGCTCTGACAGCAGTTTTTCAGATCACTTTTAATTACTGTTGTTACAGAAAGCAATAATACATTAGAAGTGTTACGTGTTTTTTATTTTCTATAGATGAAACACGGAAAATGTAACTTGGTGTTGTTTTCTGTTTAAAGCCACTTTTGATTATTTTACTTTCTGGAAATTTTGCTTTCCTGGCATTCAAAAAAATGTTGATAAGGGTGTTGTCTATGAGAATATGCTGAAGTATGGGTAATTTCCAGCCATCTGAGAGGAGATACTTTGTTTCTCTAGCCATGTATCTTGTGGAGGTATTAATATTCTCTTAGATTTTCTTCAAAGTCTTTTAAATTATGTCTTTCTGAAAAGTTTGATCAAAAACATCCAAAACAATTCAGATCTTGAAATTCGACACTTAATTTGTTTTTGTTGTCATGTCTAAGTGGTTGCTGTGGTTGAAACTCCAGGTTGCAACACCACCTGTGAGTATGATGGGAAATGGAATTTTAAGTATCAGTTGTACCACTGAGTCCACTGTTTTTCAAATAATTCAGTGATGACTTTTTTATTTTGTGTTCAAAAGAGAAAGATGCAACTTAATTTTTCAGGTCTCTTTTGCCTATTCAGATTCATTATCCTGAATTCTAGAAGGCCTGATCCTACAAATATTTCAGGCTTTGTATAATCCTACATGCTTAGCTAATATAACAGGATTAGGACCTAAAACAATGATTCAAGTAAGGGAAAACTCCCCAAAGTTTAGAGATTTTGCTTGTTTGCTTGCTTGTTCTTGTATCTTTAGAGTTTTTTTTAATGGAAGTAATGTTGTTCACTCCTTAGTTTCAGATGAGAAGATCTATGATGCTTATGTTCTGTATCCAAAGAACAGAGCAAGCTGCTTGTATTCATCAGATATTTTTGCCCTGAAGATACTGCCAGAGGTCTTAGAAAGGCAGTGTGGATATAAGCTCTTCATACTTGGGAGAGATGATTTACCAGGAGAAGGTAAGTTAGCTGAAGACAAATTTGACTAGAGTTTTCTTGTTAACCTGGAAATAGAACTGAGAAACAAGCCGTCAGATGGGAATATAAATCTCTCCTCATCATCAAATGACCTTTTTTTTTTTTTTTTTTACAGTTGAAGGATTTTGGTAGTTGTTTGAGAAGGAAGGTTTCCCTGAGAATAGAATCTAAAGTGCTGCTTAAATTTTTCATCTTGAAAAAAATGCAGTAGTCTGTTCTCAGGGTTTAGCCATGGGGTTTTTGTGTGATATTTACCATATTTCACTGTTTGTGACTTAACTGACTGGAATGCCATTGGTGGGGGGAATCTTTTTTTTCTCTTCCACTTACTGGAACAAAACCAGTTGAACACATCAGAAACAGACTGTTTAAGGTAAAAAGCTTCTGTGGTTCTGGAACTTGGGGTTTTTTTTTGCATTTGCACCTATGATGGTAATAAAATGGCATTAGAAAGATAGTTGGTAGCTCTTCTCTGTTCCTGCAAAACAAGGATATAGACATCTAGACTCTGATGAGGTCAGATTGTGTTGCATTGGTCAGATTTCTATGGTAGGCCAACCCAAGGTAACTGCTTGCATGTTCATATCCTCTCCCTATTTTGATGTAAAGTGTGCCAGCTTAAATATCAAACAGTTGATAAATCAGCTGCAGAATACTGGTAACAGAAAATAGAAATGTAAAACCTTAATTTTGCACAACCTTTTTCTCTACAGCTGTGATCAGCGTTGCTGATGAAAAGATCCGTCAAAGTAGGAGAGTGATAATTGTTTTAGTACCAGAGCCCTCCTGTTACAACATTCTGGAAAATGAGTCTGAAAAGCAGCTAGCCATGCATAGTGCTCTTATCCAAGATGGCATTAAAGTAATTCTCATTGAACTTGAAAAAATACAAGATTATGCAACCATGCCAGAATCCATCAGATATATTAAGCAAAAGCATGGAGTTATCCGATGGAAAGGGGACTTTTCAGAAAGGTCCCACTCAGCAAGAACCAGGTTTTGGAAGAAAGTGCGCTACCAGATGCCATCCAGAAAAAGTGGCTCTTTATCACAATTGCATTTGTTAACAAAAGACTTGAATGTTCCTTAAATAACAAATGAGGAATGACACTTAATGACTGATGCAGTTCACACAGTTGGTGATGGATTCACTGAAGGTCTCATGTATCTGTTTTGTGCAATCTCATCCAGATTTACTGGAGTGAAGGTACTACAGTTTCATCTACAGATGTGAATTTCTTATTTTTTTTTACTTCTGGCTGGATCAACAGAACACCGTGAAATATCATCAGTAGCACATGTAGGAAGTACACAATTACTTTTACAAGAATGATTTTGTGAAATTCCCTTGTATTAAAAAATGAAAGGACAAAAAATTGTCAAAAACTTGAAGCCAATGAAGAAAATTTGATTTTTTTCCCTGCAATTAAAGTTTCAATATGAAGGGAATTACACTAATTATTGTTGTGATATTACATCAGGTGCATGGCTGGTGCCAGTAAATGTTTGTTTCTTTTTTTTTTTTTTTTTTTTAATGAAATGACACAAACATTTTCTTTGTTACAAGTTTATTTGCCTTGTTCAGTTTGCGGAAAGATAAATCCCCATGTTACTGCATCAGTGTGTTATCATCCAGGAGAATTCACATCCAGGAGAAAAGGTAAGAGAAATCCAGCCCTCTAAAAGTGCTGTAGAACCTGACAAAGCTTAAATACTCTTCCCTAATCTCTTTTACATGTGAAAGATCAGTGCCATTTTTAGTCACTTGTCACATGCAGATATTGTAAAAATACCTTTGTAATCTGTATCAACTCAAAAAATTAATCTCCAGAGAACTTTTTCTTTCCAGTTAAATGGCTGAATATATTTATTTACTCAAGTGGAACAACTGGCTAATGACACAGAGTCTGTCATGGGAGGTACAGGATGATTGACTTCATCCACCTTACCTTAAGCACCGTATCAAGGGGCAGAGAGAGAGAGAGAGATGCCCCTGTGTTACTCCCTGCAGCTGCCTGCTTTTCTCCTTTCCCTCTGCTCTGATATGTAAGGAATCTGAGATGATTGTGTGCTGAGGGCTGCAATCACGACTTTCCAGACAAAAGGGAAAGGAAGTTGTGTAAAATGTTGAATCGTTTCTCTTTCATATTAAAATATTTTTAATAGTATTTTGTATGCCCGAAGTGTTAACTCTAAAGTTATGTTTGACTTGTAGGCAGTGTTGTTAGTTTGCAATGATCAGTTCTTTTTTTGGGGAACGGAATTATTTGAATAATTAGAAAAAATCATCAGACCTCTTTAATGCTATGTTTACAGCTATTAATTTTATAGAAACAGGAGATGAGAGCCAAATTCCCCATGTGATTTCAGTCTATCCTTGAACGTTATGCTTTTAGGTTGTGAGATCTTGTACAGGGAAGCCTCAGGAACTGACTATTACTGCTGCTTGTGCCTCTGAATTTTTGTGTCCTGTCAGCTTCTTTCTTGCAGCACCTTTTGCTCTCCTCCCATTCTAACTCCAACCTATATTTTCTCTTGCAGCTCCTTTATCTTCAAACAAGCAACTTGCTTTTGTGTCAAACTCCATCACTTTCCAAGCTCTGATTGAAGGCTGTTGCTAATACAGTGTTGGGCAGAAATTTTCCCTCTGGTATCTCCACTTGTTTGTCTGAAAAAAATTTTGTTCTGCAACCTTCAGAATTCATCTATTCATTTACACACTGCAGTGTTGGCTTTTCTTCTTTCATGGCTCAAGCAATTTTCTTATGCCTCCATACTCAACCAAACAAAACTGCTCTGGCTGATAAGTGACAAAACCAGTGGAAGTAAGTTCTTTTCGCAACTAAATTAAGTGTGTGCTGGAAACTAGAAACAATGCTTTTGAGAGATAGTGCCTTCTGAGTTTTGTGAGTTGTGTGTGTTAGGCAGAATAGAATAAGAATCTCTTAATTTCAAGAGGAAGGGGGGAAAGTGCATTTGAAATGCCAGACTAATTCAAACTGTTATGGTACTGAGGTGTTTTATTGATGAATGTCATGTATGTACAGACCTATGTAGATGCTTATAGTCTTTTCCCATTCTGTGTTTTAGTCACAAGAGAAGTGTCAAGGGACGATCAGTCCTAGTCACACTTAATTAGCTGTTCATGCAGTCTGCCTTCATATATGGTATGTGTTCTGTGGCAGCCTGTTGTAGGGTAAAAGAGCTTTGAGATCCATCTGAAGTTACTGAAAACGATCTGAACAAGGCTAATTGTTACGGTTCACACTCATAGAAGAATCAAATAGGACAGAAACTCTATGGTTTGGTCACAAAACTCTTCTTTAAGAAGATCCCTGTATCAAATGTGAGGACCAGACACTGACATTATGGTATTTGTACTCTGAGAACTAGGATGTAACGCTGACTTTGTGCTTTCACCTTGACAGCTCAGTCATGCAGGCCAGCCAACAGAGTTCCAGCGACCTCAATCCTTCTAATTACTTCTGCTGACTGGAGCCTATTGAAAGGAGAACTGCTACTTGTTATTCCCAACTCTAGGAATGGAAGGTTATTTTACTGAGCCAAAATAGTGGTTTTTAAAAAATACTTGTTCCTCTTGATATATTTATAAAAATAATGCTAAAGTTTTCATGTGTGTTATGTAAAGGCACTTTGAGGAAGAGTTCATTTTAAAATTTAATAAAGACACTACATATTTTTTTCATACACACTGCTGTTTCTTTTGCCCTCTTTCTCCACTAAAGCATACTGAGTATGGACAATGGCAAGCAGCAGCTGTGATTCAGTGGCTTAACAAGACAGCTATGACAGATCTTCATTCAGGCTGCTGCCAGTCCATCTGGCTGTGGTACAACACTAGCACAAACCACCTCACCCTACTCGACAAAGAGAGGCTGTGAGCTTGGCTTTGCTCTCTCTGGTACTCTCCTTGCAGCAAGGTGAAGCTAGAGCAGCCCCAGGGCTGCTGCATTGCTCTCTGGGACTGGCATGGTCCTCAACAGTGCCACACTAAGCAGCCTTTTGCTGCAGCTCCTCAGGAGCTGGGGAAATGCAGGAGGCCTCAAATGGGGGAAATGTCAATTGCTTCTCAGCAGCAATGGGGAGGCAGCCTTCTCTGCTCAGCCCCTGGGGCAAGTGCTTACTCTCTCATCTGCTCAAGGAAAGCCAGACCCTTGTGCTGTAGGGGTTGGGGTAGCCCAGAAACCAATTGTATCCTGAGCTGCATCAAAAGCAGCATGGCCAGCAGGGTGAGGGAGGTGATTCTGCCTCTCTCCTCTGGTGAGGCCTGACCTGGAGTGCTGCATCCAGCTCTGGGGTCTCCAACATTGACCTGGAGCAAGTCCAGAGAAGGCCACCAAGTTGGTCAGAGAGATGGAGCACTTCTCCTGTAAGGAAAGGTTGAGAGAGTTGGGATTGTTCAGCCTGGAAAAGAGAAAACTTTGGAGAGAACAAATAATGGTCTTCCAGGGCCTGAAAGGAACTTACACAAAAGATGGGGCAAGACTTTACAAGAACATGTAGTGACAGGACGAGGGGGAGTGGCTTCAAAGTGAAAGAGTCTAGGTTTAGATTAGATATCAGGAAAAAATTATCTACTCTGAGGGTGGTGAGGGACTGGAATAGATTTCCTGTGGAAGCTGTGGGTGGTCCATCCCTGGAGGTGTTCAAGGCCAGGTTAGATGGAGCTTTGAGCAACCCCGTGGAGTTGATGGTATCCCTGCCTGTGGCAGAGGCTTTGGAACTAGACAATCTTCAAGATCCCCTTGCAACCCAAACCATCTCTATGATTCTGTGAGTCTGAGTAGCCTGGCTGACTTGTCCTTGCCTCCCAACCTGAGTGTCACACAGGCTCATGCTGATTGCAGCGGCTCCAGTGCACAGTGGGGCAGTGAAGAGGGGAATGCAGTGCTCTTGCACCTGTCTCTTCTGCAGAGTGGTTTCACTGCAGGATTCAGGTTTTCAGCAGGTATGAGTGATTTGTCCCAAGTTATACCTCACCTTTTTTTTCCCCCTTACGTCTGAAGTTTCTTACATGATAGAAAAAAAAAGTAGTGAAACCAGAAAAATGAAGATGTGAGAGGGAAGGGAGGATGGAGGCAATTGTCATTATTCCTTTTTAGAAGATTGCTTGTTTTGTGTTAGTACATCACACAGCAGGGAATTTGATTTTAAATGCAATGCACTTCCCTAACTTTGTGCACTGATTTCGCTAGAAGTTAATGATGAAACAGTATTTAGGAAATAAGGATGAAATAATGTAAATATGACACACCAAAATGCTTACTCAGTGCTTTTGTCTTCATTACATGACAAGCTGTAACAATATAAGTTTAAATGTATTAGCACTTAGAAATACTGATGGCTTTTATTATCATATTATTTATTATTTTGACTGACAAGCTTGAATATTGTGTGTTCTTATCAGTAGTGTTTCAGAGATGAGAAAGAATGCACTGCCCATTGACTGATGCAGGGTGTAAGACATTAATCTGACTCTACCTAATTTTTAATTATGGGATTTATTTTATTATGTTTAGACAAAACGGGAAATGAATAGTCATATGATCTTTTTTATAGCATAATTGAAATATTTTTAGTCATCTAAATGAATTGTGGTTAAATTGAAACTATATTGTGGCAGCACACATCCATTTTCTTTTCAGCTTCTATTTAAATGGTAAATGCATCCTACTGTAAAAAAACAAAGGTGTTAATTAAGTAAGAGTGACTTTTTATATCAAGCATTTGTATTTTTTGGTTGTTTAAATATGCTAGGTTATTTTCTCTGGCCTTCTTCAATTTCAAAATTGCATTTGAAAAGGACACCTTAATTTTTTGTCCATATAAACACACAGATGTAGGTGATAAAGTGATAGTTGTCTTGGGGCAACTAGAATGGCTCTAGAAGCAAAGGTGGCTCAGTGCATCTGAAGAGCATCACTGAATCCCAGAAACTTTCCCACACACCTTGTCTTGATGGATTCCTCCAGCTCTGCAGGGGTTGTAGCAGACTTCTCAGCAGCTCGTGGGCAAAACCAGCAGTTAACTGTGATACACAAAGTGGAAAAAACCTCCAGTTTTCAGAGATGTTTTAATGTGAAAAGGCTAATGTGAAAATTGCAATTGTTACCATCAAAATTACTTTCTGCAATCCTGAAGGAGTGTTATAGGTTTTGAATTGTTATTTCTATTGTCTATGGTTTAATAATTAATTGCTGTTGCATTTAGAAATTTAGTCAGCCTAAAGACAAAGGGTTTCATAGTTTCTGAGGGGATAATTGTGGGTCCCTAGAGGGCAGTCCTGGACCACCTATTCTGAGGCAGCTGATGCTTGGGATACCCTTGTGCTAGATTGTGTGAAAGAAAGGCTGTCAATTAGCCTTCAGGCACATGCACAGGCAACAACGATCTGTAGCAGCAACTTCAACATTTTTGAACAACATGTAGCAGCAGTGGTTTTTGAACAGCTTGTGGATTATGCTTTTCTGGACAACAAGTGGCAACAACAAATTAAACTTTTAGGAAGAGGAAGAAAGGAAAAAGGAAAGATAGGGAAATAGAGAAGAAAACATCTGGGTCACAACCCAGAGTTCCAGCACTGTCTCTGGTCCAGTTCCTGTGGATGGTGAGTGCAGGGTTCACACCCTGCCCCTCTCTGTTTTGATACTTATAAACCAGTCCTTGTCCATGTGCATTTTGTTATTCTTGAACTTTTCGAAAGGAGACTGGGGGGGTCTCATGGTTTCAAATCCCTTCCCCTGCCAGATACAAGTGCACTGCTGTCTAAGACTTGTTTTTAGAAATAGTTCCCTAAAATAAGCAAGTTGACCCCAGAAAAGCACTCTTCTGCCTCCACAAGACCCTCTTTTTTAACTGCACCTTATCTAGATGGCATGGTAACATTCCTTTTACCTTCTGCCAAATGTTTGAGAAATTAACTCGTTCAGGTTTCCAGTTTCTCACACTGATGTGACTGAAAAAGGAGTGGAAGGAATTGCTTAATGAAAATCACATATGGTTGCTTGGGAAAAAGTTATTTACATAAAAGTTACTAGTCAGTCTTCTGTCTTGTGTTAAAACGTGATTCAATTCCATAGATTTTTCTGTAATTTCTTTATCTAAATCCAAAAGTTTGATGTGATGAATCTCTGTATTCACAAGGAATATTGAATTGAAACACCCAAGAAAATGGTTTTCTTCAATCATAGTAATCCTTTCTAAAATATCAAGTTGTAATAGAATTACTAACACTTTTTAAATAGTTTTGTGTTTAGAAGCACATTCCCTTTCAAATTCAGAGCCCAGGAACCCAGGCATTACTCAGCTGCTCTTTAGCTGGTGCTTCTTGCAGACACATAACTATGGACTTGATGCTGAGTTCACAAATAGTCTATGGAGTATAGGTCTGCTTGAATTCAGAAGAGACAGCTGGACTAATAAATAACTGCAACATGGCTGCAACATATTTGGTTCTTTTGGATTGCCAGTGATAAAGGCATTAACTGCAGAATAGCTGCATATAGCACTAACAATATGATTGCAATCTCAAGCTGAATATCATAACACTCAGCATAGCTGAAGACACAAGATTTTCCAGAAGATATCCCCTCTGGGCAGGGCAAGGAGGACAAACCCATCAAACCTGTCCCTGAAATTTTGTGTCAAATTCTCATCCCCCCAACTTAGGTATAAAATATACCCCAATTTCATATCTTACTAACCACTATTTTGCAAAGTGCTCCAAGTGGGGCTTCAGTCTTGCAGCCTTGCATTCTTTGTTGTTGCATTGTAAAGAATATTTAGCAAGGTGTACTTGGTTTGTACAAAATATTCCAAGGTATCAGGTAGAAGGATGAGATCCTGTGGCTTCATCCTCAGTCCATGTTTGTTACCCATGACAAATCACACAACCTCCATTTCGTTTCCATGATTACATTGTGGCTCCTCTGATGTACTGAGCTTTGCATTATCCAACAGTGCTCTTGCCATCATTACTCTTTTCTAGTCAAATGATGTTTATGAGTGGTAAGTGACAATGTGAGGTGAAAATCACCATCCCAGAACTTACTCAGCACCTATCAGTTCTTGGATGGCAAGTATGTGGTAATTCATAAGGCAGCTTAGGTGCCCTCCTAGTACTGCATCACACCTTCATTGCCTCAGGTCTGGAAGGAAAGCAGGTTCAGGCAGCCAAGTCTTCTGGGGATGAGCAGAACCATCAATAAAACTTTTGAGAGCTGTCTGTGACTCCAGTATTACAGAGTGTTTTAGTTCTTTGGTGCTCTTCAGCCTAGCTGCCCAGCACAGCTGTGTCCTGACTCCACACTGGGATGTCATGTGGATTCAAACCACCTCTTTGGCTTTTCATGGAAGAAAACCCAGTCTGCAGCCAGAAGTGGGTCATGAGCATGCTCTGTAGCAGAGTCCCAGCATGCAAATGGTCAGTGCTTTGAGAAGCTGAAATATTATGAGAATTTCCAGTGCAAACCCTTGATTAACACAGTATTAAGGTTGACACCTTCAATACCCATTTCACAAAGATCCAGTCTGTCAGAGGCTGCTACTTCGTTTTTCAGTCCCTCTTTTCAACTTTTGCTTGATTCACTCAGGAGCCCTCAATGTTGTTCCTTTCCTGAGTAATCTGTTCTGCCTAGACCACCAGTGTAAATAAAAATATTGTTACAGTTCCAGTGTTATAGACTTTTTCCA